AAAAAAAATCCGTTATTCGGGCGTAAATAAAGAATTTAGATCTCGTGTGCACGAATTATGCGAACATCTATGCTGTGTTATCGAATGCGTAGCTGCCGCTATTGCAGCTGTACTGGTATTCCCTCCTCGGCTTTCTTTCAAACTCTGGGGTTGTGCTAGGTCTAATATTAAAGAATGGTACGTTGTCGACTTAGTTCGTAATGATTTTGATTGGATAATTTCAATTTGCGAACTTCTGCATCACACAGAAGCTTTATCGAAGTTCGGTTTACTTGTTTGCTTGAATAGAATCAAATAATACTTTCAATGATTGTGATTTACGACTTTCAGGTACCCTGAATTATACAATCCTATCATCAACCATGTCAAACCTATGCGTTGCTCTTACGAAGTGGTTTTTCCTTTGTAAGAAAATTCCATGGAATGTCTGTGTCTTAGAATAACTGTTAACGTGATTCAGATATTCTTTGCCATTCGTTTACCTGCTTTTTCTGTTGGGTACGGTCTTGCTGTTCCGCACTATCCTCTATGTAGTGGTGTTGAAGCGGAGAAGGGACGCTAAAGCTTATTATTGTGCATTACTTTCAATACCCAAAGTTGCCATCATACATGCTTTGTTGGTTGGTTAAACCAATGTGTGATTGTCAAGAATAATTCTACTCTAGGCTGGAGTGTTATACCAATCGTATCCGTATATAGTCATGTTATGGAGTCTAGGTGCAAATGCAGTGCATCTTGCGGTGGAAGGGAAAATGTCGATGAAAGACATAGCAAGTAAGCACATTAAGCACATCGAGTCGAGTATCGTAATAACGCTGTGTGTTCCAGAGGTTGTGTGCACTTCACCCATGCATCTTGCAATGTTGATGGTGAACATGTTCTTGTTGGCATTTGCGCTATTAGCCCTTTCATTCCAAAAGTGAGTTGCGTTTAAATTTCTCGTTATTCTTTTTCTCGGTGTGGGTAAAGCGGTTGAGTAGCTTTGCTAAAGATTATCCGTGGACTAGTTCATGGTTTATATTCGCGCGGGAATGAGCGCATGGAGGCACACATCACAATTTAATTGCTTGTCCATCTTTTTCATGGATGCTTGCCTTAGGCCCAAGACAGAGTTCATGCGATTTCATCGTCGCGACTCATCGCCACAAGACAAGTGTTACG